GGGCCATATTAGAACCTTACATTGACTTTTTAAAAACGAATAAAATTGTGGAACAAGGAATAATAGAAGAGAGACTGAGTAACCCTGAACAGGCTTTTATATATCAAGATACACAATTTGAAGAGTCAGAGCAACCTAATTGTGAATTTATACTGGGAGTAAATGTGGAAACTATTAGGCAAACTAATTTCATACAAAGTTACTTGGACTCATTTCAACTGCTAAAAACAACAAAGATTGATATCCAGATTATATTGGCAGAAAGGGGAGCAAATTTTGCTCAGTTTGAAGTGATTAAGTTTTGTAACCAAATCTTGAGGTTTGATAATCGAAATGCTCTAATATGGGAATTCACTTGGTATAGAAAGAAAGCTAGAGTTAGATATAAATATGACATTAAATGTTATCTGATGGGTTAAAAATGTCTTAAAGGTTTTTTTCTGATCTAATAATGAAGGAAGACTATTATAAATATGATAATGTTGTAATAATTGAATTTGTTTGACTTAACTATGAATGGATGGGAATTAAGGTCCTAAAGGCTCCTTTTTTTTTTTTTTTTATTTAATAATGGTTGAAGGAGGTGGACTTATTGTTAATGTTATATTTGATAAACAATTGAATGATAATTAAGTAATTGAAGTTGTAAACCTTATTAAGGGATCAAAATGATTTCTTATAGGTGTAGTTTGATGAAATGACAGAATTTACTTGTTAATTTTATGGAAGATGGGAATTTTTTCTTTTTTCTTTTATCTTGCTGAAATGGTAAAGATTTTGGGTATCTGAAGAATTAATTAAATGAATAATTTTTATTAAAAGGAAGATTATTATAAATATAATAATGTTGTAATAATTGAATTTGTTTGACTTAATTATGAATGGATGGGAATTAAGGTCCTAAAGGTTCTTTTTTTTTTTATTTAATAATGGTTGAAGGAGGTGGACTTATTGTTAATCTTACATTTGATAAACAATTGAATGATAATTAAGTAATTGAAGTTGTAAACCTTATTAAGGGTTCCAAATGATTTTTTATAGGTGTAGCTTCATGAAATGTCAGAATTAACTTGTTAACTTTATGGAAGATGGGAACTTTTTTTTCTTTTTTCTTTTTGTATAAGTAAGGGATGGTGTTAAACTATCTTGCTGAAATGGTAAAGATTTTGGGTATTTGAAGAACTAATTATTACTTATTAAAAATAGTTATGCCTCCTCTACCTAACAAATTCAAATCTCAAACCTCAATCTCTATAATTATAAACAAATGAACATAAACTTATAATCGGATCCAAACCAAACCCTTCAGGCCCCCCGCCCCCCTACCCAATATTGTAACACATTATAGACACTACATAAAGAAAAAAAAATACTACTTTTGTTATTTTCATTTTATATTGGAAAAAAAAAAGGAAGTATCATATTTTGCAGAGATGGCAAAAATATCCGCGTACCTGAAGGATCATTTTCAGGAAAAATTTATCTCAACATGGAGAAGATGGATAGATTATATTCAGAGAAAGTATGAACTGAAAAATTATTATGTTGCTTTTGATTAAAAACTTAGAAAAAATTAGGTATATTATATATTGATATAACTTTAAAAAAAAAATTTTTTTCTTGTTGTAATTTAATGTTATTTTAGAGTCACAGTAATTTTGTACTAGTGTGTAGTAATAATGAGTAGTTTTGATTAGTATTGGATGATTGTGCATTTATTTCCTAGATTAGCTTTGGGAAGTCCTGGGGGGGAGGGGGGAAAGGGCTAGGTTGGTATTATAGATTTATATGTATATATATATATATATGTATGATTTTTTAAGGAGGTGCCCGGTGATACCCCAACTGCACTGACAGGATGGTTGAGGGAGAAAGGGAAGTAGGAAAGAGGGAGGAAGGAGGAGTGGTGGAAGATGAGGAGGAAGGTGTAGGCAAGTGAGAGGGGGGTGCGGGAGGGGGACACCGGACACGTCCGTGAATGTATTGATTGGTGTTGATTTATTTTTTTCTGGTTAACATTGTGATAAAAGATTTATATTTTTGTCTTTCAATGAAAAATCAATAAAAATTTATTTAAAAAAAAAAAAAAAAGAAATGCCTTGCTTTTGATATGGGAAAAGATAAAAATGAAAATTTATATGAAAATACTAGGTTGGATCTCGACAATGGAGGCGTTTGTGCACCCAAATTTAATCAACTATGAGAAACTTGTGACATACAGAGACATTTTGAATACTGATGGCAAATTACAAACTAAACAAGAATTGGAAGAACAGGGTATTGAGCTATTATGGTGGCCACATTTGCAAATGCAAATGAGATACAAAAAAGATGCTAAAACATATGGTTTTTATAAAGATCAAACAGTGTTTGACCAGATACTATTGTCATCAGATGAAAAATTGATTAAGAAACTCTATAAATTTTTGTTAAATTTGAAGATGGAAGATGAACAGGTTAAAGAAACAATGATAACTTGGGCAAAAATTTTGGACACAATGTAGAATTAGAAAAATGGCAAAACCTGTGGGCAGCTACTTATAAAGAAAATCTATACAAAATGTTTTACAGATGGCATTTACCATTTGCAAGATTAGCAAAAATGTTTAAAAACATGTCTAGTAATTGTTGGAAATGTAACCAGGCACGTACTATCACCTCTGGTGGACATGCTCTAAAGCAAAAAAAAATTGGTTCAAAAATACATATGTGGTTAGAGAAAATGTTAAGTAAACATATAGATTTTAAGCCAGAACTGTTTCTTCTAGGAATAATCACAGAGAACTATGTCAAAAATGTATATATTTAATATTAAATGTATTAACAGCAGCGAGAATTACATTTGCACAGTATTGGAAAAATGAAGAAACACCATCAGAAGAAGACATAATTAGGAAAATCTTGGATTGTGTGGAAATGGATAGGCTTACATTGAAAATGAAAGGGAAAGAAGATACAGAATATTTTCAAACATGGGATAATTTTTATAAATGGCTAGAAAACGGAGTAGAGAGTAGAAATGGAAGTTGCATTATTATTATTGTCAAATATGTGAACCCAGACAACACATTGTTTATTAAGCACTAAAGATTTGTAACTATAAAAACTTAATAAAATATGTATATATATAAAAAAGAAATAGGTGTGGTCTATTTTTGAACTAAATTACTTTACCTCAAGAGAAAATAAACTAATTTCTAATTCATAAACTCCAAGGAAACTATGTATCTGATTTTTTTAAGTTCTGATTGTAACCTTTTCATATTTAAATGTCATTGAAGATAAAAAATAACTTGTATAACCTTTTAATACACAAATTGTTAGTTGTCACATAATGAAGATTTTCAGAAAATAAACAATTTTAACCATGAAGTAGTATGACTATTATGTAGTCATAATTATATGGCTATGATTAGAAGCATAGCAATAAATTATTTAATTGTCAGTTAAAAGAAAAGAAACTCTTTGTTCCTTCCTCAAGTTCATGCGAATTTCCCTAAATTATGCAGGTGCAGAATTTATCTCAGATGAGATATAAGATTTTTTTTTTTTTTTTTACAAAAATAGATATTTTTAATCAAGGACAACCAGTATAACTGTTTTAATTTTGTGTACAAATATTTTTTAAAAAAAAAACCATACCACGCAAACAAATTAGTTATCAGATATATCTTTGAAGGCAGTCACTCTTCCTAAACATTTATAGTACTTTGCCTACCTTTTCATGTCTTGTCCCTTTTGTTTTGATGTGGGAGATTCTCCTCCATTAAGAATCTGTTCTAATTTTTTTGTCTCTACTGAGCCATTTGGTTCTGAATTGGAAAGTCCAAGTAAAGACCTCACCCTCTGTGATCGTACATCCAATATTGTATCCGTGTAACCTACTTCTTGAAGATATCTAAAAGATAAAAGAAAGTAGAATTATAGTCATGTATACACACAATCATCAGTGAACCTCTAAGATGTTCTGTATGGCAATTTAAAATACAGCTATTCTTAGCATATTGTTTAAGAACATCCTAAAGCAGTGGTGGTGAACCTATGGCACGCGTGCCAGAGGCGGCACTCAGAGCCCTCTCTGTAGGCATGCGCGCCATGCCCGGAGATGGCAACCGTCCCTCTTCAACCAGCCGCCTCACAACTCACCAAGGTCCCATGTGAATGGATGCATCCCAGCATGGCTGGTTTCCCTTCCCCCCATCCCATCCCTCCTGGCCTCGCATGCTCTCCTTTTCCCGGGCACGACCCACTGTGTCTCCTCAGCTGTTGGCCGGCCGGCCAGCTCAGAGGCGGGTTCTCTGAACTGCTGGTGGCGGGCTGCAGAGCCCCAGAGTGCGCCGGTCGAGGGGCTGGCAGGCTGTGGCTGCTGACGGACACTGTTGGCCCCCATGCGCTCGCTGGCCTCTGTGTGTGGGGGGCGATGGTGTCAGGCAGCCACTGCTCTGGCCCCTGCCTCGCCTTGCCCTGCGACAATGGCACCCCCGCCCTGTCTCGCCTTGCCTCGTCTCACCCTGCAGGACAAGCCTCCTGCCCACCGCCCCACCTGCCAGAGACCTCCTGGATCTCCCCCAACCCTGCCTGGCCCCACAGGCATCCCTCCCCATGAGCAACATCAAGGTGACCACGGCCACCTTGGCCACACCCACTCAGTTTGCCATGACCACCACAGCCATGCCCACCCAGTGGGCCAGGCCCACCTGGCACCCGGTTATACATAAGTGGGTTTTGGGTTGCAATTTGGGCACTCGGTCTCTAAAAGGTTTGCCACCACTGTCCTGAAGCTTATGCCACTGCTTTTTGTTTCTAGGAAGTTTAATTCACATGAATTGTTTAGGTAAATCTATTCCAAGAAAAAAATTCTTTACACTTATTTTAGATTAATTACTAATTATTGAGTTCAAGCAAGTATTTACAATTACATCAGAACTTATGTAATTCAATGTACAATGTACATCACATATACTTATGCTCCAATGTACAATGACCTTCAAACCCAATATAATATGATACTTACTGTCTTAGCAACTGTCTGCCTTGTTTCCAAGTTAGCTGACTATTATGAGGCACTGTAGGAACCTCTGTATCTTTGGTTTCTTCTGCAACACAAAAAATAATCGACAAATTATGTGCCATCAAGACATTAAATCTGAGTGATCAGAATAATAGAATAACAGAGTTGGAAGGGCCTCAGAGGTCTTCTAGACCAACTCCCTGTTGAAGCAGGAGACCCTATACCATTTCAGACAAATGGCTGTCCTGTCTCTTCTTAAAAGCCTGCAGTGATGGAGCACCTACAACTTCTGAAGGCAAGCCGTTTCACTAGTTAATTGTTCTCACTGTTAGAAAATTTCTGCTTAGTTCTAGGATGCTTCTCTCGTTTAGTTTCCATTCATTGTTTCTTGTCTTGCCTTCTGGTGCATTGGAAAATAGGTTGAGCCCTTCTTCTTTGTGGCTGCCCCTCAAATATTGGAACACTGCTTTCAAGTCACCCCAAGTTCTTCTTTTCATTATTTATTTATTTATTTATTTATTATTTATCAAATTTATACCCCGCCCTTCTCCTAACGGACTCAGGGCGGCTTACAGCCAGTTAAAACAGATAACTAATACAATAATACTAATTTTAAAATATGATTAAAATGAAATATTCATTATTGGCCGTTTCTTTTTAAAATTATTTTAAAAACCAAATTAAAATACCCCTTAGACTAGACATACCCAATTCCTGCAACTATTCTTCATATGTTTCAACTTCAGGGCCCCTAATCACCTTTGTTGTTCTTCTTCGCATTCTTTCCAGAGTCTCAACATCTTTTTTATATTGTGGTGACCAAAACTGGATGTAGTATTCCAAGTTTGGCCTTACTAAGGCTATATAAAGCTAAGGCTTTATAAAGTGATATACAGATAGGTGTTCCATTTTCTTTTTACTGTCTTTTATTAAGGATTCCAGGTTTTGCATTACTCTGATTTACTGAATTTTTAAAATTCTAATTTACAAGCATATCCTAAAGATAGCAAATTAAATTCATTTTTAGCGTATTACTAGATGTTTAAAAGTGAGGGAAAAGTTACAAGGTACATGTAATCTTTATAATTCCAGATTATATATGGTATTCCAATTGAATGGAAAGCTATGTTTGCTGATATATAAGTTGTAAATCATTTATATTTACATACGATCAAAGAATGGAATATTCTCTCAGCAATTGATAGTAACATAGACGAGGAAAAGCATAGCCACCTGCCATCTTTAATTTCTTTAATTTTGCTCAGCTTTCTGATTAATTTACTTAATCCATTTAAAAAAAAACTTGGTTTTTTTTTACTATTTGTTCCATACTTTTTTATTACTGTTCTTGAGGAATAACATGAACCTTGGCTTGATTCACAGATAAATCTTATATGATAAATGGCTTATACTGAAAAATAGGAAAACTTGAACAAAAAAGAAACTATGGAAGGAAAGAAACACAGAATGTAAAAACCTGAAGCAATCTTGAAGAATATTCAGTTCCCCTGCCAATTGTAGAAATCCATTACAACATTTCTGATGGTTATTTAACCTTGGTTTAAATATTTACAATGAAGGAAACTTCAACCTCCCAATGCAACTCTTGTACCACTAATTTTTTTTTACTTTAAGAAACATATTCTGATTTCCAACTGATTTTTTAAAATCCATTGATTCCTATCTTCTACAACAAGCCAAAATGTCTGTCCTGTATTCTACACGACAACTCTATAAATACTTGAAGAGAATCATCATCTTTGTCCCACAATATTCTCTTCTTTAGTCTAAATAGGCCTACTGCATCAAATCTTTCTTCAAAAGTTTTCCTTCTAGACATTTACATTTGTTTGCCCTCAGCTGGACAGGTTTTATTATGTCATTGTACTTCATTAAATGTCGTGATAGAAACAATATTCTAAAAGTGATCTGACCAATGCAAATATCGCAAATTGCCACTGCCAATCATAGAAAGGCATAAGTTTAATGTGTTGGGCTAAGAAAATATACTACCTAGAGGTACTGTAATTATTATTTTTATCATCGACTATTAAGACTTATCTAGGTGTGTGAACAATTCATTAATCCACAAATAGACTATTTGGAGAAGTCTTAAATGTTCTTTTTCCGCTTAGGAATGAACCATTCTGGGAGCAACCCAACAATTTCCAGAAGTCAATTGTCTGACCTGGATGCATTTTCATGTGTTCTAGATGAAACAAGCTTATTGCAGAATACAAACGGAGTCAGAGTGATATAACACTGAAATGTGATGTTTGTTTCATTTAGCTCATAAACAAAGTAATCTACCATGTGATGTAGCAGTGTGAGAAAAAAGAAAAATTCCCCTCTTTAGATTAATCTTTAACTGTAATATACAAATTATATTGGTATATAATTATTTGTATATAGTTATTAATTATTGTACTTGGTGATCATTCTCATACCTCATTATGTAGAAATTCTGACCCATTTTTGAAATACTTGAATTCAGTAACATCTGATAAATTTCAAACACGAACTGTTCATTTCAGTTCTACAACAACATTTCTATGGGATTTAGGTAGACTTTGATTTGACCAAATTCAGTTCTGAATTTCTTCTTCATCATCCATTTTCTCATACACTTGCTTGTTAAGTTGGGAATATTATGCTGTTGCATAACGCATTTGAGCTTTATGTTTAGATGATAAATTACCTGATATTCTGCTGTAGATTTTTTCTGAGCCAAAGCAGAATTCATGCTTCCTGCAATGTTAGCAAATTGTCTATATTCTGAAGTAGAAAAGCATCCCCAAACCATAGCACTACTCTTTTTTTGACAGGCATTATGAGATTCTTATCATGTTTGGTTTCCACCAGATATAATGACACAGATGTAACTCCAAAACTTCTACTTTAGAATCATTTGTCCTAAAACATTCCTCCCAAGTTTATAAAATTCATTCAGATGTTTTAGAGTAAATTTGAATTGACCATCAATACTCTTCTTACTGACTAACAATTATTGCCTTGCTATTCCCTTATGCCACCATATAACCCAGCAACTGTCCTATAATGGAATCATAATTGCCAACTTTAACCAAGGCAAGAAAAGCCTACAGAATTCTGGCTGTTATTCTATGATTTTTGTGGCTCCGTAGACAACATCTCTTGGAGGTGATTTTCAAAGTATACCCACTCCTTTCAAGATTCACTGTTGTCCCAATCTTCTCAATTTCAAGGTTATTTCTCTGACTGTCGACTGGTAGAGCACTAGAGCTCTAGAAATGTTCTATAATTTTTCCCACACTTATGGGCTTTAACACTACTTTATGGAGATATCAAGAAACAGCACTTCTGTTTTTTTATAAATATCTTTAAAAACAATGAAAAGTTGAAATTTGGACTGAATAATAAAAATAACGCTTTAAAGGCCGAAATTTCTGTCTTTTTCAGGCTAATAGTTTAATACTAAGAAAACTTGAAAAGATCACATAACTTTTGTAAATAAAATGAAACCCAATTATAATCACAATACAAAACAATAATGCTAACATTGATTGCAAAGACTTATTTTGGTATAAAAGGTGGACAAAAGAATGTGAGGTAAATACAATAGTTATAAATAGATTTTTACCTGATTCAAAAGTTGGCATTTTCAAGTCACCTTGATTCAATTCTGTGCCATATTTTAGTTTATGGTATTTTGCCCTTGAAAGAAAAACGTAAGTAAATTGACCAATAAATTTTAGATTTGTATTTTCCTTACAACATTCATACAAAGATGTCTAAACAATGAAGATTGCTCTTATGAACTGCCTTTGGTCATCAGATAGACTTGGAAATATCAGTGTTTTAATTAGCATGTCTCCTGTTCAATCACCTTTATTTACAGATGGCTAGTGTATTAAGCATATTTAAAATTTTTCTGCCTTCAAAAATCAAACAGAACCATACATACAACCACAAAATTACATTTTATATACTGACCAACATTAAAATAAAAACAATAAAATTTACTGTTTACAAAAATAAATGTTTAGTTTTTAAATAACTGAGCTGATTTTGTCTTCTAAATTAAAAAAGATAAATAGGCACCAGCAATGGGTTTCAAAAATGTAGAGTTTAACATAAATCCAAATAATAGATTGCTGTATATTAGTTCTTGACATCAACACCTTCTAATTGTGTCTGGAAAGCAATTGATAAACCAATACATCTTATGGTTCTAATATCTTGCACCAATTAGTAGCCTAGCTACCACATTTTCCATCAACTGGAGCTTCAGAACATTTTGACTATTGGAGCACATTGAAATAGACAATTTGGGATACACTTAAGGCAAGAAACCAACCAGTTCAGGAATACCCACAGCTAGCATATTAAATAAGTATTAAATTCATTCTTGTCACAGCCTCCACCCTGTAATTAAGGAATAGCTAATCTGCTATTTCAGATGGATTAGCCCTGAACCCAAATCTTGGACCAAGAGCACCTCCAACTTAACTGAATTTAGTTCCATATTACTTTTTCATTCACACCGATATTCAAATTCTACAATTTTCTTCAATTATCAATGTCATGTTAACTAATATGAAAACATTATACATAAACTTCTCAGTTGAGAAACATGGGATAGATACCTTTCTTGTTTTAATGCATATTCTAACATTTTTATTCTTCTTACTAAATCTTTCTTCAAGTTTTCTTGACCCTTTCTCTCGCCTTGCAAAAATGCTATCCGAGCCTGAAAATACAAAAATGGTAACATAATTATCTTTCATTTGATCATGTTTATCCAATATACCATATTTTAATTCTATGTTCTATGCCTCCTAGAAGAATTTTCAGGGATATTCTCCACAAAAAGAAAGTAATCTATAGATTGTATTTCTTTGTGATAAAATGTTTTGCCAAACTAACTGAACTGTACCAAATCCATTTTTATTTTACAGTAAACCTGTTCAAAACAGCATTCAAAAACAAATATGTATTTCTAATTCATAAGTCAAGGAGAGAAATAAAGCAGGAACAATAAAATCCTCATAGGAAAACTCAGGGGAACTCTCTATGCCCCGGGTGTCAAACTCGTCGCAACACACACAACTTTTTTTGCATTGCCGGAGCTGGGGTGGGCGCAGCCTCTGTATGATGCAACCAGCCTGCAGGCCGGCAGCTTGACATCCCTGCTCTATGCTAAACAGCACTGAAGCATTTTATTCATCATTATATTATTTGTCAATCCTATGACTTTAAAGAAGTGGAATCAGAAAGATTCCAGATACAAATAAAAGTACCACAGCTTTGCATAAATGCCACACTGTAATTACACAGAAAAGAATTTTAAAGCAGCACTGTTAGTATACTAATAGTCCCTATGGTGAGATTTCATTATCAATTGAAGTTTTAAGGAACATGTCAATCAATAAAATTTGCTAAGTTGCTTTGGTTGAACAGTGCAAAATATAACTGCAATTGCAACAATGGGGCATTTTCATCTCTAATATCCCACAAAAAATCACTTGTGAAATCTGGAGATGGGTTGTTCAAGTGCTCTGTGTAGGTCTGGAAACAAATGTTGGTCTTCTAATTTAGACATAAATTCAGTTAAACAATTTTAATGAAATTTATATTACATAAGAACTATGGATTTGAAAACAACGCCATGCTTTTGAGCGTGAATATTTTCTTTAATGTTTTTGATTTTAGCATTCAGGTTCCCAGATGTCTGCTTATTTCTTTTAATCACTATAAATAGTAAAAGAAGATGACTTCTAAAATTATGCTACAGTACTGGACTTTCACTTGTGTAACTGAAATTTTCCTTAAAACCTCTTATAATTCTTATATACATTTCAATGTCTTCCACAGGAATCCTAAGCTTTTTCAAGGAGATATCAGAACTAATTACAAGACAACATGGGGGGAAAACAATTTTCCACCAATTTAATATTAATATTATATTAAATATTAATATTAAATTAATACAGCGACATATTTTTAATTTATTTTATTAGATTCTGCCCCATTTCTTAGAGACATAAATGAGTCCTCCTCTCCACTTATGTTACCCCCACAACAGCATGCAATATAAATTAGGCTGAGAGAATGACTAGTCTAAAGTCATGCAGCAGATTTTATGATCCAGCAAGGGTTTGAATCTGGGCTTCCTCAATCTAAATCTAGCCATTATCTATACCAGGCATGTCCAAAGTCCGGCCCGCGGGCCATTTGCGGCCCGCGGCCTGGTTTAATCCGGCCCTCGAACAGCCCTCCCTGCTCTATATAAATGCGGCCCTCCGGCAAGTCCCATGAGAGACAGAGACAGAGGCACTTGCACTTCTGTCTCTCTCTCTCTCTCTCTCTCTCTCTCATGGGACTTGCCCCCTCGCAGGGCTCCTCATTGGCCCTGCGCCCTGTTACCCTGCCCCCAGCCGCAAGCCACCATCCGCCCTGTGGTTATAAGTGTCCCGGCAGTTGGGACCCGCCCCTCCCGGAAGTCAATCAATCCTTGGCGGTTCTCCGTCCGGCCGCTTGTGTGCTGCA